TTCAAGGTCTTAATGTCTACAAGTGTTAATTTGGGAAGAGTGTTTTTCTAGGTATTTGTCCATGTCATTCAGATTACTGAATTTTTTGGAATACAATCTTTCATAATACTGCGTCATTAATCTTTTTTACTTCATTTGGGTCTGTTATAACCCCCTATTTCATCACTAATTCTAGATACTGTTATCTCCTTTTCCTTTGTTAAATTTGCTAGTAGTTTGTTGATTTTGTTGATCCTTTCAAAGAAACAACTTTTTGCTCTGTTGATTTTCACATTGTTTTTCTGCTTTTCAGTTCATTTATTTCTGCTCTAATTTTTATGACTTATCATCTTTTGCTGTTGGAAAGTTTATGCTGTTGACTGTTCCAATTATTGGAGGTGTTAAGGTGTTGAACACGAATCTCTCATCCTTTTTCATTTGTGCATTGATTGCTGTAAAGTGACCTCTAATTACAGCTTTGGTTGTGCCCCATAGGCTGTTGTATGTTGTGTGTAAAAACATTCTCATTAGTTTTTAGGAACTTCCTAATTCCCTCTCTTATTTGAGCTATTATCCAATCTCTTTTGAGTAGTGTGTTGTTGAGTCTCCAAGTGTTTGTCATTTTTTTAATCCTTTCTATTGTTGATTTCCAGCTTTCTGGCACTGTGGTGGGATAAGATGATTTGAATGATCTCTGTGATTGAATTTTCTCAAGCTTGCTTTATGACCCATCATGTGGTCCATTTTAGAATATGAGCCCTGTGCACTGGAGAAGGATGTGGGTTTTTTGTTTTATCTTGTCTTGTTTTTTTGCTGTTGGTTGAAGAGCACTGTAAAAATCTAGGAAATTGAGTTGCTCAATTGTGTTGTTCAGCTCTTTTGTTGCTTTAGTGAGTTTCTTACCGGTGGATCTATCTTCCTTTGAGAATGGTGTATTTACATCTCCTACTATTATTATTGATCTGGTGATTTCTCTTTTCATCTCTTTGAGGATTTGGTTGATGAATTTTGAGGGTCTTTTGTTGGGTGCATTTATGTTTATTATGGTTATATGTTCTTGGCATATTGATCCGTTGAGCATTATGTAATGCCCATTCTTTTCTCTTGTTATGTCATGAACCTTGAAGTCTATTTTGTCAGAGATTAATATTGCCACCCCTGCTTTGTCATTAGCTTGGTAAATTTTTCACCATCCTTTGAATCTCAGTCTAGTTTTTTTGAGATGTATCTCTTGAAGGCAGCAGATTGATGGATCCTGTAGTTTATTCCAATCTGTTACTTTTTGTCTTTTGATTGGCACATTGAGTCCATTGACAGTGTAATTAAATCTAAATGTAGATTAATTGCTGTAATCTTGTATTATTTGTGCTTGATATTCTCCTTTCTCCCCTTTTATGGTGTGGTGTGTGTGTGTGTGTGTGTGTGTGCATGTGTGTGTGTGTGTAGCTAATTCGTGTCTTTGTTTCTCTACTAGATTTGTATGATTTACTTTCTGTTTCCAGTGGGTTGGTCTCTGGGTGATATAACACCCTGTGGTGGTCTCATGTTTGAGTGCTGTAGCTACTGCTTTTCTGCCCATAGTATTTTTTATAATGGTTTTGTTTTTATTAATTCTTTAAATATTTCCTGGTTCAATTTTTTTTCTCTCCTTCAAATTTGATGAAAGCTTTGCTGGATAAAGGATTCTTGGATTGCAGTTGTTGTCTTTCAACTTTTGGAATATGTTGCTCCAATTCCTTCTTTCCTATATGGTCTCTGAGGAAAAGTCCAAGTTTATTCTTATCTGTTTACCTATCAATGGCTGCCTTAGTCTTTCTATCTGCACTCATGATTCTCTCCTTTTCCTTAAAGTTTGACAATTTGACTACTATATGTCTTCATGTGGTTTTTTGTTTGGTTGGTTTGGGGGGGACAGGGCGGAGTATCTACTTTGTGTTCTCTCTGCATCTTGAATGGTTATCATCATCTCCTTTGTGATATTGGGGAAATTTTCTTCCAAGAATTCTCTTACTATTTTATCTGTAGACGTATTTGTTTCTTCCTGCTCAGGCACCTCAATAATTCAAATATTATTTTGCTTCATGGCATCCCACATCATCCTCAGGCTTTCTTCAGATTCTTTCATATTTATGTTTGAGTTTCTCATTTGCTGAAATCTGCGTGATTGCCTTCAAGTTCACTGATTTTATTTTCCATTTCTTCCTTCTGTTGGTCAAATCTTGTACTTTGTTTTGGATCTCTACTAAGTCATCACTTAGTTCCTGAATTTCCTTTGGGTATGAGGTTTTTAGTATCTCCATTTTTCCATCTATTTTCAGGATTGATCCCCTAATCTCTTATAGGGTCCTAAGCATAATTTTCTTGTATTCTCTATTTGGCAGTTCAAGGGCTTCTTTTTCTGTGTATTCCATTGGGTCTGGATAATCTTCAGTTGTTGGCTTTTGTTTCTCTTGATTTTTTGTGGTGGCTGATGATGACTGTGGTTTGTGCCACATATTGGTTGAGCTGTCGATGATGCATGGACTTCTGGGCTGTGTCTGTGTAGGAGGGGAGGGGTTGACTCTTTAGGTTAAGGAGGATCAGTTAGGAACTGAAAATCCTACTGTGTGGAGAAGAGAAGGGAATGATAGTTGGCTGGGTAAGAGGAATAGGATATAGGTGCTTGGTAGTAGGCTTTAAGTGGTAATATTAACCATAGGAAGCCTTCCTGTTAAGTATAGTAATGTTTGATGAGTTGGAGAAGGGGTTATAGGAGATGTGTTCCTAGTTGGTAGGTTCTAAGAGAGTGTGTAATACTGAGGTGGAGGAAGTGGGGTTTTGAGGTCATGGTGGTTGGGGTAGGTGAGCAGTATATTAAGATTTCTACCAGAGTCACTTATCGACCCTCTATATTACATAGGAAGAGTGGGGTACTTCTGTGCTTACAGCAGAAGGCCCTTTTATTGTGGGTTTCTGCACAACTCAGTACTATCTGTTTTGCATGTGGCCCCAGGGTGGAAATAGAGTACTGGAGTGTGTGTGTGGGCGTGGGGAGGTCTAAGGTGCCGGGAGAGGGGGGACTTCCAAACAGGAGGCAGTTTTTATAAGGACAGTAAGTTTCCATGTCATCCAGATGCCTAGACAGAGGAGAGGGAGCCACCAAGAAGCAGGGGTGCTGGGTTCCAGTTCCTCTGGCAGGAAAAGAGTTTTGTTTTTCAAAATAAAATAGGAGAAAAATGTAATCTCCTCTTGAAGCCTCCACAGTGCTCACGTTGTGTTCCTGTCACACCGGGGCTGGATCCCTTTCAAGTGAGCTGGGAGTATTTATCTGGGTGCCATTAGAGCCTGGCCTTTGTATGAAGAGGAGGAGGGGGACCCAGCAAGGGAGTAAAGCCCTTCACCAAAGGGTCAACAAACCCCTTTATTTAATACTTTAAAAAGCTTTCTACCTGAGGCATGCTAAGTGTGACGAGTACTGCTAATGAATCAAGGAGTTCTCATGTAGGGTTTGCATGTTGGCTTGAAGTTGTGGGGTTTGGGGGGGTTAGGGTTTCAGGCTTGAAGTGTGTGCTGTCTTCAAGGTCTAGGAGGGTACACTCACCTTCTTCCTCCGTGAGAAGGTTCTCGATAAAGTTGAACACAGTCTGCCCAATCTGATGGTTCTCCTGAAGTTGTAATGCCTCATTTTCTCAATGGTGCCTAGTTGTTCTAGCATAAGATGGAGCTTCTCCATCTCGTGAGAATTCACTGCAGACTGGAGAATATAGAAGATGGTGAAGGATGATGACAATGGTCTTGTGGTCCTGACAAGTGAGCAGACTCATCAGGGGCTCCAGGACTCCAGATTGGATGAGCATGGTCAACGAATCTGTGGTGCTCCCCATCGTGAAGTTAGCCACTACCCACACAGCCTCTTTTTGGACTTTAAACTCTCCATTTTTTCAGCAAAGACACCAAGTTGGGCAGCATGCCGTGATTGATTAGCTGCTTGATTTGCTGGCAGTTCCCTGCAGCCATGTTGCTCACGATCCAGGCCGCCTCCCTCTGGATGGAGGACTTGGGGTGCCTCAAGAGCTGGGCCAGAAAATCCAGCATGTCCTCATCGATGGCCTTCTGGGTATGCTGATCTGTTCCCATGACAATGTTTCCCTCCGTGTGGAAAGAGGGGGTTGGTATGGTGGTTGAAGCCAGGGCTAGGAGATGTGGGATAACATTGCTTGAAATAACAATGTCTCTGAACTCTGTGTTGTCACCTGCTATATTACCCAGGGCCCGCACTGCCTGTTCTCACACAGACACATTGGGGGAAGACAGGAGCTCCATCAGGGGCTGGATGGCACCATGTCCACAACAGCCTGGGTCAGCAACGAGGGTTCTGAGGTGATGCTGGTCAGCGCCCAGGCTGCTTCAAACTGTAGATGAGGGTAAGGGAAACACTTCAAAAAGTCCACCAGCCAGGGGACCAGCCTAACTTCCACAATCACCTTCAGGGGCGGGTTTCATGTTGGCTCTATTCCACAAGCCAACATGAGCTCCAGTATCCAGGGCTTCCAGAGGTCCATGAGGGCATCATGGGCTACACTTGGGAGATGGTCTGGGTTGGGATATTGCCCTTCACTGAACGGTCACAGAACTAGGGGAGAAGGAAGGAGGCTGGAACGTGTCACCCCACTGACCCTCTTAAGGTAGGGGAGAGGGGAGACTGCAGCGAGCTCCACTGCGTGGTCTTTGGGCCAAAATCAAAGAGAGAGAGTTCCAAAATAAACCTGAAGTGCTGAGACTCTAGGTTCTGTGTCTAAATTCCCAGAATTGGCCTCCTCACCTGTCTATCTCTGGGCCAAACAAGGTGAGTTCTACACGGGGACTCTAGTTCAGCACCATCCTCTCAGAACTCCTAATTTTTACATTTTTGATTAATAAAGTTTTCTGTGAATTTTTCAGCAATACTTTTAAACTTACCATTATGTCACACATGTTACATATTATACCTTATGAAGCAGAATGACTGGTCAGTTTAAAGAAAAAAGCCAAGCCACACCTACCAGGCACCAAGCTGCTGAAGGTCACAGTTCTTTGCCCAACGAAATCTCGTCCAATGGGATCGTGATCCCACACAAGGAAGCGAACCAAAGCGATTTCTGGCATGTGCACAGTAAATGTCAGTGTTTCTTCCCACACAGGGTTAAATCCTCAGAGAAATGAAAAAGGAAAAAAAATCAGAAAACCAGCAGGCGTAGCTAAGACTGCGTCGGCAGGCACATCTGCACAGTAGACAGTGAAAATTGCTTGCAATGGTTATTAAACTCAGGAAGAAGACTGGTACACTCCAGGATGCCTTCCTGAAATAGGGTCTTGGAATTTACAACATCGCTTGAAAATAATTGGTAAGAAAATTGCCTGTAAATTATCACATCAACTCTATTAATCTTTGATGCCAAATTGCATTGTAGAGAAAGGGCTTTTAGGTAATACTTAGAATGCTCCAATAAGCTCAAGAATTATCTATAGTTGTAATCTGAGAATAATTAAGAATGCCCTTCCTCTCCCATGCCATCAACCTTCTTGCCCACAAAGGATCCAGCTACTGTAATGATCACCCTCAACCATTTTATAGGGTGCTTTGTAGGTTTCAATGCTGTGATACATATATCAGTCTATCTCATTGCTGTAGCCAACCTCTGACGTTGTGAGAGTTGGTATGCTTTTTGTTTTTATGTTTATTGCTCTAATTAGGAAAAAAAACATATATACTACTGACTCTTGAAAATATATCTCTTTCAAAGTTACACAAGAAACTTAGGTCCTTGATTTTTTTAAGTAGAAATTACAAGTATCTAAAACTCATTTTATATTGGAGAAAAGATTATGTGCTTAAAGACAATTTGGGACAGGGCCAAATTAGACTGTGCAGTAATGATTCTCAGCAGCTCCTTTTAAAGCAAGACCCTCATAAATGAAGATGGTATTATTTTTCATAGCTTCTGAAAATGAATAGGAAAGCTATATAAATCAACTTAAATACTATAAAGCAAAAAGGATATAAATACTTTAGTTTATATTTTAAATAACAGATAAAAGCATGTGATTTGATAGCAAATCAAGCATTATATGCATTTTTGTATTTCCTTTCTAAAAATCAACTTTAGCATCATTGTATGTGTGCATTCAGGAGGCATGGGCCACTTAACCACATAAATAGCTTCAATCTAATGTGATAATTACAGGCGGAAAATCATTGAAACATTCCTCCTTAACAAGAGAGGAAATCTGTCTATTGAATTGGTGAAGACCTATCAATTATTCCTGAGACTTAGGAGGAAACAAACAAACAAAAAATGAATGAACTTGGATGGGAAAACAAAATTTAGGAAAGCTTCTTATTTTAAATATGTTATTTTAATAAGTAACAAGCTTATTCTATTCATGAAACCCAAATACCTTCCATTTAACCAACACTTAGAACAACTCTGCTGTCAGCTGTTGTGGAGTTAGCCTTTGATTCATCGCAACCCCATTCGCAATAGAATAACACGATCATCTTACCCTAAAAGTTCTTCTCATGATTGTTGCAGATGGAACTATTATGGTCTGTAAAGTTTTCAATGGCTAATTTTTAAAAGTAGACTGCCAGGCCTTTCTTCCTAGTCCCTTTTTCTTTAGGAGCTCTACTGAAACTTGTTCAGCATCATAGCAGTGCACAAGTTTCCACTGACAGACAGCTGGACAACAGGTAAACTGGCTGGGAAATTATCCCGGACCCTCCATGGGCCATGGAAATTCTTAAAGCACCACCGCTGCCCCAGGTCTCTCTATCAACCCAAAATTTCTCAAGTCTTTTAAGGATTGTGATTTAAATTTATCTCAAAGTCTTAATGACTACAAGCTGAGAACAATAAATGTTCAATGATGTTTGTCAACTGTGTGAAAAAATTAGTGAATAACATTTTAGAAAATTATGAAGGAAAGATGAGGTTTAAGGGATAGAAGTCTTACTTTATACTTCCACAAAAAAGATAATGAGAGGGAGAATGCTAGTCATTCACTACAAATAAATATTGAAGAAGTTGTTTTGCCAGAATATGCCGAATTTCCATACATGCTGCAGAAGAACTGAGAAGTCACTAAGCAATTGAAGCTTTGTTAGTTAAACCTTGAGGAAACTCGTGCTATAAAGAAATAATTCAAAAGTACCATAGATGCAGTTTTCTAAGAGTTTTTTAACTTACTTTTTTATTTGTATTGCTTTAAGTCCACACGTAACAAGTCATTAACCATTTCAATACTCTTTCTGTGTACAACTCAGAGAGATTAAAAACTCAAAACTCACTGAAATCGAGGAGACTCAGACTGCCCCATAGATAGAGTAGAACTGCTCCCATGCGTTTCCAAGACTACAACTCCCTACGGGAGCAGAAAGCCTCATCTTTCTCCCTCAGAGCAGCTGGTGAGGTCAAACACGTGGCCCTGAGGACAGCAGCCCAACACACAGTCCACTATACCACCAATGCCCCTGTGGACAATCAGTGATATTAGTTATGTCCACTGTTTTCCTCAACTATTGATGTTATCTGCCTCTAAGTTTTCCGTCACCCTAACAGATGCTCTCTTAAGCAACAAATTTCTCTTTTTCTCTCCCTCTCACTTGTCCCTGGTGACCACTAATATGCTTTGGTACTAAGTTAATTTTTAATTCATCCTTTAAAAATGTCTCTTATTCTATTCATTAGAAATAATGTTTATTCCAGAAGCAAGTCTTGAGAGCAAAGGTTATATCCATTTGCTTAATGTTATGTTGCACTCACTTTAGCACAATGCAGATGGCGGCTATAGATTTTAGTGAGTCATTTTGTTACTATACAGATATTTTCACTTTTCTTTTTTTTATTTTTTTATTTTTACTTTTCTATGAAAATTCTATTTCTAGAGAACCCTGATTAAAAGGGAGCACAGATTATCATCTTACCATTGTCATCTACCACACGGGTCTGATCTTTACAACAATCCACAGGCAATCCAATGATTTCAACTTCAACAAAGGGGTCAATGATCTATGTAAATAAAGAGAAGGCACTATTACAAATGGCATATTTCTATACATGAGTGAAATAATTTCAAATATTTACCAAAGTGCCCACATTTCAATAGCAATCAGTTATACTAGAGACTTACCATAGAAGCGGAACTGTACCAACTACAGCAAATGCACAAATAAGGAATAGGAATGACCAAAAAAATACTTTACATTTTTATTTGCAATATTCACTAATGCATGTAAAGTTTGCCCAGGGAACCTATCATCCCAAGGCTGTGTTCATACCTCGTATACAAGAGAGGTTTTGCCCATTCATAAATGGTCAGAGCAATTATCCAGTTAAAAATTGAAAATCTGGCAAATGTCTATCATGAGGAAGGATTTTCGTGTACAATATTCATTTAATGGTACAGCACACAACAATGAATAAGAAGAAATTTCTCTTAGATATAATGCTGAGCAAAAGAAGCGAAATATAAAGAAGCACACGCTATGAAACACGAGATTGATGGACCTCTAGGGACAGCAAGTCGAATAGGGTTCTTGGAGGTACAGTGTGGTGAGGTGTGTGTGAGTGCAGGTGGAGGTGGAGGGTAAAAGAGAGCTGATGGCAAGTTCAAGAAAGGAAAGGATGTTTTGAAACGGATTGTGGTAGCAATTGCACAATACTGCCTGATGTGATTGGCCTATGGAATGATATGATATCTGTGTTAACTCCCAATAAAATAGTTGAGGGGGGGGAAGAGTGCACATGCCCAAAACTTGGACAACTTAACAACATAAAAACAAATAACCCAATTATAAAATAGGCAAAGGACTTGAACAAAATTTTTTTCAGCCAAGAGGATATTCAAATAATCACTGAACATAAAAATATGACTGGCCAGGGTGTGGTATAGCACTGATGAGACATACAGCTTTCCTCTGGTTCTTTAATGCTTCCTCCCCCGCCCCCCAACAACTATCATGACCCTAATTCTACCTTAAAAACCTGGCTAGACCAGAGCATGTACATGGGTACAGATAAGAGCTGGAAACACAGGGAATCCAGGACAAATAAACTCCTTGGGACCAATATTGAGAGTCGCCATACCAGGGTGGGAAGGGGAAGGTGAGGGGAGAGAGGGGGAACCAATCACTATGACCTATCTATAACCCCCTCCCAGGGGGATGGACAACAGACAAGGGAGTACAGGGAGAAATCAGATGGTGCAAGACATGAAAAAATAATAACAATCTATAGGTTATCAAGGGTTCATGAGGGAAGAGTGGTGAGGGAGGGGAAAAAATGAGAAGCTGATATCAAGGGCTCAAGTAGAAAGAAAATGCTTTGAAAACGTTGATGGCAACATATGTACAAATGTGCTTGACACAATGGATGGATGGATGGATTGTGGTAAGAGTTGTATGAGTCCCCAATAACATGATTTATAATAAAATAAAAGATGACTGGCATCATTACACATCAGAGAAATGTAAACCAAATGACAATGAGATAATAGTTCACTCCTTCTAAGATGACTAAGACTAGATAAATGAAAATTTAAAAACCACCAAGTAACCAATGTTGGCCAGGACCTGGAGAAATTAGAACCCTTATCCACTGTTGGAAAAATGCAAAATGGAAAGCAGAGTGGTGGTTCCCCAAAAATCTCAAAATAGAACCACCATGTGACCCAGCAACTCCTGGAGTGCAGTGGCTCCAAACTAGACTTGAACACTAAAGTTCACTGTCGCATGATTCACAATAGCCAAAATGTAGAAATATCCAAATACCCATCAATAGATGAGTAGCTAGACAAAATATGATCCATGCAATGGACGATAGTACTCAGCCAGTAGGAAAAATGAAGTCTTCATACGTGCTGTATGATGAGAGGAACTGGAAGATGTTATACTGACGGCCAAGTTTTCCCAGTTACAAGAATAGTGGAGAGAGTGACACAAAAATTAAAGAGAAGAGCTAAACTGTAGCAAGCACTTACTGTGTATCCACAATATACTCTTAAAGATGCTTGACCTGCTTTCATTGTTGAGTAATTACAACAACTTCATGAGGCAAGTATTATTATGATTATTATTCCCATTTTACAGCAAAGTATATCAAGACATAAATGAGCTAGCAAGTTTCCCTAAGATCACCTGACCTATCTAAATGGTGTGGTACTATCTCAGGGCCTATACTCTAAATTACTTACTAAGGGCCCAAGGTCATCTTTAAATAAAAATCATCACATTCTACATGCCCCAACAATCTCACACATAGGGATATGCCATGAAACGTGAAAGCGGAGGCTAAAAAAAGAGAATTATATACAAGTTTCATTGCAGCTCGTTTATAATGGCCCCAAAGTGGAACCAACCTAAATGCCCATCGGCAGATGCTTGGATAAACAAAGGATGGTACATGCATACAACAGACTACTATACAGTCAGTCAGAGACATGGAATGCCGATACTTCATCCCTACAGCAGGGCTGAAGACATTATGCTTAGTGAAATCATCCAGTTACAAAAAGCAAGTATTATATGACCTCATTTACCAAGAAAAGGTCAATGTATAAAGAAACAACGTTTAAATGGTTATTGGGGATGAAAGAAGGAGGGTTTACTGTAATGGAAAAGTCACATTGATTAATGTAGTACAACTATAACTGATCATTTAATTGCTGTAAATAAAGCTGTACACCTGTGGAAAGTTATCGGATGCCTTGAATTTATGACAATAGTAAAGAATCTACTATCTGACCGGTGTGGGCATTAACAACGTACATCTGGTAGCAGCGAATGCCTTGGTACCAGGTAACAGTAATGTTGGCTGTGATGCTTATGGTTATGTGTCAACTTGACTAGGCCATGATGCTAGGGGGTTGACAGTTATGGAATGATAAATACCGACAGTTATGTAATGATGCAGTCATCCTCCATTTTTGCATAGTGACAATTTTTATGTTAATGATCTCATCTTTAAAATCTGAGCATGTCGATAAGTGAGGAGTGGGTGCATGTCTTTTAATCTCTTACTAAAACACACTTCAGTGTTATTAGTAATGTCAATGACGTTGTGTCGAATAGGAATCATACATCTCTTCATGTCACATTATAGTCTCAATATACCTCTTACAACTCAAACTCACTGTCATTGAATGATGCAGACTCATAGTGAACCTGTAAGACAGGGTAGAACTGCCCCTGTGGATTTCAGAGACTCTTTACTTGTAAGGCCTCATCTTTCTTCCATGGAACAGCTGCTAGTTTCAAATTGCTAACCTTTTGGTTAGTAGCCCAATGCATAACTCATTATGCTACCATATCACTTATAATAATTATTCCAAAATTATTAGATCTGAAGATAGACCCTGATTTTTATTGCATTGTTAAGGACTAAAATATTAATATGGTATAATTTGTTCCTTACTTTAATAATTATATTTTAATAAAATTAGTTTATGGCTTTAAAAACATTATTCTGAGTTCCATAGGTCTCACCAGATACCAAAAGTATCAGGATCCAAAAATTATTACTGAAAACAGTTGAGAGTGGCAGAGCAAGCATAAAACGATGGACCATCTCTGAGAAGAAGGACATGAGCATAAGAGATGCCCTGAGACAGGGGAAAATAGAAGGGTAAAACTAGGGTAATGGGAATCCTAGAATCAAAGGTGTAGAGTGAACCCTGATCATACAAGGGAGCATTTTACAGTCATGATGCGTCAGTATAGCACACTTGGATATGCCAAGCAGCAGCGGGTGGCAGGAGAGCAGGTATCTGATGTGCAGCTGGGATGAAAGTCCCAGAACATGAGGAGGTTAAGACACAGTCCTAGACAATGTTTTGGTCGATAATAAAATTGGGTTTGCACTCCAGTTTAGCATTGATGGGGTCAGGCTTGAATTGTAAAGGGCATTATGGTCCCACAATCCTCCAAACTGAAGGGTGCATGCAAGAACGTTTGTCAGTAAGTCAGTTAGCATCCCTGAAATGAGGTCAATAATCATTTATGACTAATTTCCTAGAGCTTACAACACACACACACACACACAGAATTCTGAAGAATAATGAGAAAACATAAACACAACATAATTATCACAGAATGTACTCAGTTGTCTGTGATTTACCTCGCCTCTGTCGCCCAGCATGGAATCCGGAGGTTTGGGGAGTTGCTGGCCACTGATTACTTTCAGGATGAGTTGCTTTTTGGGGTTGGCAGGAAGTGGGTCACCAGAGAAAGGATTGAAAGTACCTAAACCAAGTAAGGCAGAGGTTACACTGGAAGTTGGTACCACAGGGGAAACACATGCACGATTTAAGCCTGTGAACAACGAAACAATAAATGTTGAATGACCCCAGTGTTTCCTAGAGCAGAAAATTGTCACAACCCTCAGTGTGACTTTGCCCTGAAGGCAGCACCAGCTGGCATTTCCAGAGCCATGGTTTTTGTTAGAATCTGTGCCCTCAAAGGCCAGGCAATTAGGCCATTTGAAAAGAAGTGTCTGCAATGCAATTACCAACCTGGCACGAGGGAAAAGAGGCGGTGTCAGTGAGTGCCAGTAGTCTCAAGTAAGGGAGCAATTAGGTCAGATCCAAGTAACTTCCTAAGCTACACTCTCTTAAGCATAGAAGAAGGTATGAAATCATGCAAATAGAAGAGCAAGAAAACAAGCAAAGCATAAAATCGAGGAGACACGTCTGCCAACACTTTCCTTAGATAAATTGTTTATGACTTCAATTTGGATAACATAAAAAGAATTTTATCAAACCGAACCAAAAGAAAGTGTTCTTTGATCTAACACGATATTATACTTTCTTTTCTGTTGGACCTGTTTTATAATCGGTTTACACTAAGTAAAAGGACTTCATAAAATTCTTCCAAGAGGTATTTTAATTTTCCCAACTGATCTCAGACTCCCAAGCCCACCTAAAGTTTCTGACAAACAGAGCTTGAACCGTGGAAGGTCATGCAAGGACAATGGATTTCAGATGGCAACTCATCACTCTGCAGGGCCCTTTGGATAAGTCAAACTTCACGAGAAAAATGATAAATATCATGTTACCCAAATATCATGTTACCCAAATAGCTTTAACAAAAAGTCTCATTTACATTCCAACAATTTACCCCACTTTTTTTTAAAAAAATCATTTTGTAAACCACTGTGGTATTCCAATTTCCATAGAGTTCTTTTAATAGGGGCCACCTGCGTTCAGAGACACGGTGGTGAGATTAATACATACCCTTGCACATTTGCTGGGGTTTGAGGACGTAGCCACAGTTGCCATTTGTCTTGAATTTGGCTCGGTTTAACTGCATCATTCTTCCTTCGGACTGGTAGTTGAGGGCCACTGTGGAAGTGGGAAGTTGGATAGAATTAGGGCAGGATGAAGCCAGGGCGCACTGAGAGTGTTCCTTCTCAGGGCACACCCACCTAGCTGACAGCCTGCATTCCAATAAGGAAGAGGGTTGAAGTTGCTGGAATCAATTCGGTAGGCAGAGGGGTAAATCCTCGTGAGCTGCTTTTGGTTATAAATCATGAACTGCTCTGATTTCTGCTGAACCACTTGATGCGCTCTTGTTTCACTGAATGACAGCACATTCCCCGTTGTTCCTACGTGTTTGTAATAGAGAGAAATGAAAAGTGAGAGCTTCCACAAAGAAAACAAGTGGCCAGTCCCACTCCCGCGATACTTTACCGTGAGGGTCAAAAACCAGTGCATTTGTAATAGAAGCAGTTGAAGAGTTAAACACACAGGGCGCAAGCCATTCCAGTCCAAGTGTGGATAAAAAACAATCAATATAACCTATTCTTGGTGGGTAATAAGAACTAACAACATTCATCTAAAGAGGCACACACATGAAAAATCTATTAGCTGATAGAAATCAGGATCCAAGAAAATAAAGAAAAGAGATCAATTACAGAAAAGGGAATTTCAAATCTAAAGTTATTTTGAATCGAATTGTGGACGTTGCAAAGCCTGTTTGGGGAAAAGGAATAATAATGGACCCAAAAAGAAAAAAATAAGAGTCCAAAGAACATTAAAAGAAACAAAGTTTTCAGAACAAGGATAACCACCCACCTAGTGAGGCTTGGGAACAATGGGAGGAGGCGGGGAGGGGGAAATGGCGCTAAAAGATATGAAGCATGTTCTAAAGTTTCAGCTAGGATTATTAATGGATCAAGCGAGAGCAACAACAAACCTAAAAGTGTGGGGTTCATGATGGAGTGAACAACCAGTTACTCCATTTCCTCAACCCTGCCTTTTGTACTCCACCCACCTCTTCAACAAACATTCCCATCCCATTCAATAAAAACCTGCATCTGTCCTCTGAACATGCTACGAAAAGACCAAGGTCAAATAAAGGCCGAAACTTGTTTCATTCTCATTTTCTTTCATTTTTTAATGAATCATTTTATTGGGGGCTCTTAGAGCTCTTAAAACAATCCATACATCAATTGTATCAAGTATATTTGTACATATGTTGCCATCATCCTTACCAAAACATGTTCTTTCTACTTGAGCCCTTGGTATCAGTTCCTCCTTTTTCTCTCCCTCTCCCACCCTTGTGAACACTTGATAAATTATAAATTATTATTATTTTCATGTCTTACACAATATGCTATCTCCCTTCACTCACGTTTCTGTTGTTCATTACCTTGGTATGTGGGTGGGGGGTTTATATGTGGATCATTGCAATCTGTTCCCCCTTTCTTCCCCTTCCTCCCCAACCCCCTGCCCACACAAACCCTTGATAATTTATAAATTAT